GGCAATCCACTCGCCTCGGCCTCCCAAAGTGCTGGGATTACAGGTTGAGCCACCAAGCCCAGCAAGGCTCCTCCTTTAAATCCCCTTGGCTCAAAGAGCAGAAGCCCTGAGCCCTCACTTCTTTGGCCTGGATCCACACCCACCACCCCTGCCCTCTGTTCTTGATTTCAGTTGACCCTGGGACTTAGCCTCTGACATAAAGGTGCACATTAACTCCAAGGAAGACTTCCGGCTCCCACATCTCCCATAGGCTCCCAACCTTGGCATTCACCTGGGAGATGAGGAGCTGGCAGGATGACAGCTCCCGCCCAGTCACCTCCATCTTGCGATGACATTCCACCTGGAGGTTCTCCAGCTGCCGGCACCGCTTGACCACAGACTTGACTTCCGATTTGATTTTGCTGATGTACAGTCGGGCCACGGTGAACTCCTCCTCGATGGCCCCACTGATCTCCACCGGCTGAGGGTGGGCAGAGGAGGAAGAGATGCTTTCTGGCTGCGGAGAAGCCCTCATCCTTCCCTTCCGCCTCCTACCCACCCGCCCCCCAACACGCTCACATCCATGCAAACAGGGACTCAGGCGGGACAGGTGTTTTCCAAACAACCTCTAGCGGCTCTCTGTCTCCTGGCATTTCACATTAAATTCCCTCTGTACATTCAAAAACACAATTCCCACTGGACTCAGTGGCTCACGCCTGTAATCCCAGTACTTTGGGAGATAGGGATGGGAGAATCACTAGAGGCCAGGAGTTAAAGACCAGCCTGGGCAACATAGTGAAACCTCCTCTCTACAAAAGGAAGGAAGGAAGGAAGGAAGGAAGGAAGGAAGGAAGGAAGGAAGGAAGGAAGGAAGGAAGGAAGGAAAGAAGGAAGGAAGGAAGGAAGGAAGAAAAACTAGCCAGGTGTAGTGGCACATGTCTATAGTCCCAGCTACTCGGGAGGCTGAGGCAGAAGGAACACTTGAGCCCAGAAGTTCAAGGCTGCGGTGAGCCGTGATCATGCCACTGCATTTCAGCCTGGATGAGAGAGTGAGACTTCATTTCTAATGAATGAATGAACTAAAAAGCAAGATGAATAAATCTCATAAAGCAAGATGATTTTCTTTCTTTTTTTTTTTTGAGCTGGAGTCTCACTGTCGCCCAGGCTGGAGGGCAGTGGCATGCTCCTGGCCACCGCAGCCTCGACCTACTAGACTCAGGTGATCCTTTTGCCTCAGCCTTCCAAGTAGCTGGAACTACAGGCCCACCATGCCCAGCTAATTTTTTTATTTATTGTAGAGACAAGGTCTCGCCAAGTTGCCCAGGCTGGTCCCGAACCCTGGGTTCAGGCAATCCTCTCACCTCGGCCTCCCAGAGTGCTGGGATTACAGGCTTGAGCTTCTGTGCCCAGCACAGGATGATTTTCTTTGGTAATCAGACTGATCTGCTTGGTTGCTCAGAGCATCTGCATATGTATATGTCATTCTTAGCTCTGTGCCCACCTCTGACTCTGGCTGCAAGCACATCTCCACTGCCTCTGCAACCAGCACCCTTTAGAATGTGTCTTTCCGTTGAGTCTACGCCAGCCTCTACCTGCCCTGCGTGAAGGCTCGCTGCGTGAAGGCTGACTTCCTGGATCTTCCACCTGCCTCTGGAGTTCCCTGAGGGCTGGTCTCGCCCTGAGTCTCCCACCAGTGCCCAGAGCGAGAACAGCCTGAGCAAGTCTGCTGTCTCCCCTACTCACCAGCTTGATCTCCCCGTTGCCCACGATGACGCTGAATTCACTCAGATCCTTCATCAGCCCATTCAGCACCTCAGCGATTCGTTTTCGCTGGTGTCCACTGACCTCCTGGAGCCGCTGCAGCTCAGACTCCAGGGACAGCATGGTGGCCTAGGAACAACCCCTCGGGTCATTCCCATTGCCATCCTCCTGCTCCCCTCCCCAGCTCCAGCCCAGGGAAGGGGAAGAGGCCCCTCTCTTCATCCTGACCCTGAGGACTGCCATGAGAACACAAGCCCTGCAGAAGAGTCTGGAAGAGAGAGGGGTCGGAGGCAACATGCCGAGGCTGGGTGGGGGAGGGTCCCCCGAGGCACGGAATGGCGGTGCAGAGGTGCAGACATGATACAGCCCTGCAGAAAGCAGGGGTCCCCTTTTGCGTGGAGGACAGCCTGCCGTCAGGGGTCAGGGAGCTCTCAGGCCACCAGCAAGGCACTTACCACCTTCTGAGACAGCTCGTCCACCAGGAGCTGGTTCTGCTGGCTCTTCTCCTCCACCTCCTGGGACTTCTGGTCATAGTTGACCGCCAGCTCCTCCAGGGCCTGCAGCACCTCCTTCACCTCGTCCTTGGCGGCGTCGTTCTCCGACTGCAGGTGGCTTAGCTCCTGCTGGACCTTCTCGTTGTCTCCTCGGGTGGACACCAGCAGCTTCAAGGGAGAGGAGGGGCACGTGGGCAAGCGAGCTCGCTGTCAGTGATCACATCCACGGCCCCCTGCTCTGGAGAAGCTGAGCCCCCCTCCCAAGGCAAGAGCCTAGAGGAAGTAAGTTCCAGGCTTTCAAGAAGTGGAGCCACAGAATAAAGAAACACCCAGACTCCAAATCTGTGCTTGATGGAATGCCAGCTGCAGTAAGGTTCCCAGACATCTGTCATTTAGGGGAGTGGCCAGCCCCTGCACAGGATGCGCCCTCCTTCCATCTGGTTTAAAAAGCTCTTTTCAGGCCGGGCACGATGCCTTACAGTAACCTGTAATTCCAACACTTTGGGAGGCCAGGGGTTTGAGACCTGCCTGGGCAACATAGCAAGGCCTCATCTCTACAAAAAAATTTAAAAATTATCTGAGCACAGTGAAGCACGCCTGTAGTCCCAGCTGCTTGGGAAGCTGAGGTGGAAGGATCACCTGAGCCCAGCAGGTCGAGCCTGCAGTGGCCATGAGCTTGCCACTACACTCTAGCCTGGGTAATAGAGTGAGACCACGACTTAAAAAAATTTATTTATTTATTTATTTATTTTGGTTTTTTGGGGGGTTTTTTTGTTTTTTTTTTGAGTTGGAGTCTCACTCTGTCGCCCAGACTGGAGTGCAGTGGCCGCTCCTGGCCACCACAGCCTCGACCTGCTGGGCTCCGGCGATCCTTCCGCCTCAGATTACAGGCGCGCACTACCACACCCGGTTCATTTTTGATTTATTGTAGAGATGAGGTCTTGCCAAGTTTCCCAGGCGGGTCTCGAACCTGCAGGCTCAGGCAATTCACTCACCTCAGCCT